TGTGCATTTGAGGTGGGAAGACTCACCCATCTCCGACGCGCCCCGATTTCCTTTCTGCCCCACCAGTTCATCGGGGATGCTGATGCATTGCTTGCCAAATATAGAAAGGCACGATTCAGCCCCAGCTTTTTCTTTTACTCAATCTTTCAGTAGCATTTGGCATGTCTGGCAGCTCTTCCACTCTAAAAACAGCCTTGTCTCATGATTTCTTTAATGATATGCCTTCCTGTTTTCTCCTGTTTCTTTGGTAGCTTTTTCTCAGTTTCCTTGAAAAAAGATAACAGTAGCTTTGATCTATGAAATGATTTCTATACTCCAGGCTACATGTAAAGTAATTTTTTTTTCCAGCTTAAATAACACACTATTCAGGGGGAAAAAAACTGGCACTCATTAGAAAAGTGAAGCTAAGGGATTTTTGTGATTTTTTCAAGATTGTTTAAGTGCAGGCTGGTTGACTTTGAGTCTCGGCTCTTATCCATTGCACAGAGTTGCCTGTAGACCTTGCTCCAGGACTCTCTCCTTCCTCTCCTCCCAGTGATCTTTTTTCTCCCGTATAGCTTTAAAGCTCTATGTATACTATTGACTTGCAAGTGCGTATTTGCAGCTCAAACCTCTTTTGTGATCCATGCATGCAGCTTGGGCTACTGGCAGGACTCCCCTACTGGGGAGCTTGCTGATGTAGCCCACTCCCACAGGTGAGTCCAGGGTACCCTGTGTCCCAACACATGTGCCCCATGGCAGTGTGTGGGGCTGTTTCCAAGGGTGCTCCCCAACAAGGCTCCCACGGTGTGGGGAGGGGCCAGGTTCCTGTACTGGTGCTTGGGGGTGGGGTGGGGGATACTGGCCCCTCCCTTCACTCCCTCACTCGGAGAAGCTCACAGTATGTTGCAATGTTTAGAATAAATATGCTGAATGAATGCAGTCTACTAATCTGTGCAAGATTTAAGATCGTCTTGTCACTGTCAATTGTTTTGAATCCATAGATCAAATGAAATGTCCTGTAATATTGTCTACATATTTACATAGTTGAGAGGGATGCACACCCTTGTGGGTCTCTGATTAAGGTGGAAATGGTCAGGTATGGAGGAAGATAGGTGGGATAGTACAGGATAAGGTGTGGTTTGTCCAACACATCAGCCAACACACCCATCGGGATGTAGCTGCCTGGTCAGTTCTGCCCCAGCCCCATATCCTACACGAATCAATGAGTACTACAACCCAGTCCAGCCAGGCCACCATAGACCTGGTCCTCACTATACCAGCGGTGCTGTGGCCTAGTTGGGGTGACTCTCTGTAATGCTTACCAGGCCCTGCATAGCCCCAGTTTTTGAGTATCCAGCCCCTGCTGTAGCCTAGTTCAGCTCAGCCCACATCCCATCTAGCTCTTGCGCACACCCACAGGTGCTCAGCCTGATCTGCCCCCAGACCTGGCCCTCATTTATGCCAATAAGTGCCAATCACCTTGTCCAGCTTGATCTCCCAGCCCTGGTTCTCATGCTCATCAGCAATAGGTACAGCTTACAGGGAGTTCCCCAACTGGGATTTCTCATGTGCTTGCGGGTGCTGTTACTGACTGATGTGGCCAACCCACGGTTTGGGCACTCACCAGTGGATACTGTGGCCTAGCCAGACTGGCCTATACCCATTCTGGCTTATATTGATGGATGCTACATGCTAGAACAGGGATTCTGGCACGTTCAAGGCGAGGACTTTAACTTTTACGCTATCGTGCCAGGCCCAAAAATTTACTCTTAGTACTGCTTTTGTCAACAAAATCAGACATAAGGGAAGTATAACCATTAGACACCATAGATAGATGCAGAATCATCAGAAATTACTACAGTCATACAACAACAAACTGGAAAACCACGAAGAAGATAGATTTCTCAATGGATACAATCTACCAACCAACTCAGGAGGACAGAGAAAATCTAAATATACCAATTATTGTGATGGGGATTCAATCAGTGATAAGGACCTACCCAACAAAGACATTTCCAGGATCAAATGGCTTCACCGCAGAATTCTACCAAAATTTTCTTGTAGAATCAACTCCAATTCTTCTCAAAATATTCAAAATAATCCAAAGGGAGGGAATCCTCTCAACTCCTATGAGCCCATCATCACCTTAATTCAAAAATTAGAAAAACATACAATAAACTCTAGACAGATATTCCTAAAAATTACAGATATAGAAATCCTCAACAAAATACTAGCTAACCAAATCCAGCAACACATCAGAAAGATCATTCACCCAGACCAAGATGGATTTATTTCTGGTATTCAGGATTTAATATACGTAAATCAATAAATGTGATACATTATATCAACAAACTAAAGAATAAACACCACATGGTTGTCTCGTAGATGCAGAGAAAACATTGGATAAAATACAGATCTTCTCTTGATAAAAAATAAACTTTAGAAAATTGGGTATGGAAGAATCATTTCTCCACATAAACGAGGCAATAAATGAAAAACCCATAGCCAGCATCATATTGAATGGGGAGAAGTTGGAGTTGCATGCGCTAAGATCTGGCAACAGACAAGGCAGTTCTCAAAGGAGAAAGCTCAAAGGGCCAACATCTGAAGCAATGCTCAGGCTTACTTGCCATCAGGGAAATGCAAATAAAAACTGCAATAAGGTTTCACTTCATCCCCATTAGAGCGGCTACCATTTGTAAATCAAAAATAAATAAATAAATAAAAGCTGATGAGAATGTGGGGAAACAGCTACCCCAATCCACTGTTGGTGGGGATGCAAACTAGTGCAACCATTATGGAAGACTGTATGGAAATTCCGCAGAAATCTGAAAATAGATCCACAATGTGATCCAGCCATCCCACTCCTGGGAATTCGTTCAAATGAAGTGAAAACAGAATACAACAGAGTTATCTGTACCCTTATAGATATAGCAGTCCAATTCACAATAACTAAGAAATAGAATCAACCCAAACGCTCATTAACAGATGACCAAATAACCAAAATGTGGTACACATACACTATGGATACGACTCAGTCATCGAGAGAATGGAATCTTTTCTTTTGCTACTAAATGGATGCAATTGGGAACCATTACGCTTTAGTGAAATAAGCTAGTAAATAAGCTAGTCCCAAAGACAAATATCATATGTTTTCTTTGATCTGTGGTAATTAATACACAGAATTTAAAAAATATAATCTAAGGGTACAAAAGTGACTCTCTGGGTCTGAGTCTTGTGTATAGCTTCTGTGCTAACACTGAAGAAACAGCAGGTTCTTCAATTCTTTGTTTACTTATTATTCCTCTGCTTTTTGTTATTATTTTTTCTACTTGTTACTTGTTATCGAGGCCTAAAGGAGTGTATATTTGTGAAGAAGAACTGTAATAAATATGCAATAAAAAAGAAAAGAATATTTGGTTTGCTTCTGGGTCTTGTTTGTTTGTTTGTTTGTTTGACACACATGGCCATTTCTGTAGCGTAAAAAGCTAAGGGTGAAATTGTTGGGTTATCCCTCAAATATTTTTGGATTGTGTTTGACTGATGTGATGAGTAATGAAGCTGTAGAAAGTAAAACTGCAGGGAGTCATTGTTAAGAGCTGGCTTTTGTTTGTAATGCCTTTTAATTGTATTTACAGTGTCACGCTGGCTGTGAGGTCTAGTATCTTGTTTTGTTTCAACTATTCTTACTCTATTTTTTTAAAAAGATTTATTTTTTGGAAAGGTAGTCACACAGAGAGGAGATACAGACAGAAAGAATTTTTCGTTGGCTAGTTCACTCTTAAAGTGGCTGCAATGGCTGCAGCTGAGCCACTAGAAACTTCTGGGTCTCCCACACCGGTGCAGGGTCCCAAGGTTTTGGGCTCTCCCCCACTGCTTTCCTAGGCCACAGGCAGGGAGCAGGATGGGAAATGGAACATCTAGGACACAAACTATATGGGATCCTAGCACCTGCAAGGCAGGGACTTTATCCACTAGGTTACTGTGCCTGGCCTATTTTTTAACTTTTCCCCCACTTTACTCTTTGGATTAATTCGGAATTTCGAGTTTGCTTTTTTTGTTTTGAGGGGCAGAGAATGCTGTCATCTGCTGATTCTGACCCCTGAAGCTTATAACGGGCTGACGCCTGACCCAGTATCTCCATCCAGCTCTGCCTCATAGATGGCAGGAATCCAGTCACTTGAGCTAGTTTGGGCTTGTCCAATGTGCCAGCGGCAGAGGACACAGTGTTAGACTAGTAACAAATTGCACAGCCACCTTAGTACAACAGACTTCAGGGCCGTGCACCCCAACTGCTCAGGGCCTCCACTTCAGCTATGAGACCCATAAAGAAGCTAAAGGAGCTGCAAGAGATCGTGACTTGGATTACAAAAGCTTAAGTTCGGAATGGCAGGTGCTGAAATGAGACTGCAGTGGCGTTAGCTGCTGGAGCGGGGTGAGGACGCAGCGGTGGGATCTTGGAACCAACACAGGCCCAGGATGAGAACACTGGCAGGGGCTCCTCTCTTCTACCAAGCTCCCTGACCCCAACACTCAGGTCTTCCCACAGGGGTACCATGGCACCGTGGCTTCACCGAGGGCATGGAGCAAGACCAGCACCTTGCTTGTCCAGGCCTCACCGGCTGCCATGATTCTCAGGGCTCAGCCCGGAACTTTGTTAACAGGACGTTTGGAGAATCCCGAGTGAACGTGCTCAGGTTGCTCAAAACTTCCTTCAGCTTCCTCGGCAACCCCACCCAGAGGTTGCTCGGAACAGGTCACCAGGGCAGGACAAATCTCGCGAGGTGCCTCAGGCCAGAAAGCCCGAGGAGAGGGTGCACCGTGACGAGGTCAGCGGCCCTCTCTCGGCTGCGCCCGAGTCCTTGGCGCGGGAGCCTTCACCTGCCGCGGGTCGGAGCGCGGGAGCGCGGGCATCCCGGCAGGCAGTTGCCAGGTGCTCACCTGGGCAGGGGAAGCGGCGGCAGGTGTCACCGGAAGGCCGTCACTCGGAGGTCGCCGCAGGCGCCTGCCGACCCGCCATGCTGCGCTGGCTGCGGGGCTTCGTGCTGCCAGGCGTGGCCTGCCAGAATGACGATGACAACAAACGCTACGGCAGCCTCTTTGAAAAACTGGACCGTAACGGGGACGGCGTGTTGGACATTCTGGAGCTCAAGGAGGGGCTGAAAAACCGGAGCTCCGCGTTTGGGCAGAACTCGGAGAAGGTAAGTCACTCGCATAGGAGGGTGGGCAAGCCTTTCTGAGGCAGAGAGGAGTGGGGTTCTCCTCAGCCTGGTCAGAGCCGGGGGGTTCCGCCGTATAGCCGCTTTCCACAGCGGCCGAAGCACTCCGCTGAGTGGTCTGGAACCTTGTCTGACATTAACCTCCCATAGTACTTGGCAGTCGTGTTGGCCGTTGGGAATTCATCAGAACAGGGTCCCCTCTTTTCTCAAGAATATCTGATGACAGGCACGGATAGGTGCCTGAGAGCTGCTCCCTTCTAATGTCCACACGGAGGGACTTCAGAGTCAGACCCAGGCCCCTGGCTTACACTTCAGTTAAGGCCCTCTTCTGGACAATTGCTGAAAGTATTTAAATGAAATTTCTGAATATGAAGAGAAGAAAATCATTTTCCCTCTGTCAACGAGCAGTCTCGGAGATGACGTACACTTATTTCAGCCTGCTTTCACGGGTTATACATTTACATGAGGGAGCTTCAAAAAGGTTATGGAAAGTGCACCTTATTTTTTAGTTCCATTAGGAAGGACATTTGCCTGCAATTACTGTCACGTTTTGCAAACTACATGAGTATTTGTTTCCTAGGCAAGACATTCAGAACATCTTCTGTTTGTTTTTGGAAAGGAAAGAAACAGAGACAGAGATCTACTCACAGATTCTCTCCCCAACTGCCTGCGACAGCTAGGGATGCACCAGCTCAAAGCCAGGAGCCTGGAACCCAATCTGGGTCTTCCGTGTGGGTGCCAGGGCCCCGCGTGTTGAGTTGTCACTGCCTCCCAAGATGTGCATTAGCAGGAAACTCAAGTCAGAAGTAGAACTTGGACTTGAACCCACTCACTGTGTTGTGGGATGTGTATGCTTGCCACTGCCATCCTCCATCAGATTCCCAACCATGGGAACACTCAATACTGTAATTGCAACTGTTGCTATGAACCAGTGTTCATCAGAAGCAGATACTCAGTCTCCAAGTGTCTGTATATCGTCTAGAGTTTCTTTAGTTGTTAATTTACAGCTATATTTAGTTGTGGTATAATATGTTTTCTTTTTAATTTCCTAAGACTTATTTTATGGCCCATAGAAGGTTGAATGCACTGATAAAAAGAAGGTGAGTTATGCCTGTGTGGGATAAAATGTCCTTGTAGATATTAATTAGGTCCGTTTGGTTCATAGTACAGATAAGCTTTTTAGTTGTTGGTGGTGGTTTTCTATCTAGTTGATCTATCTGTTGATGAATTAGGGTGTTAAAGTCCTCCATTATTATTATTTTTTTTTTTGGATTCTGTGTCCCCCTTTAAATCCACTAACATTTGTTATGAATAGCCAGGTGCTCTGGCATTGGGTTCAACAACAGTCAGGTCTTCCTGTTGATCCTTTCACCATTTCACAATTCCCTTTAGTCTTTGACAGTTTTTGCATCAAAGTCTGTTTTCTATATTAGAATGATTTCATCTGCTTGCTTTTTGTTTTCTATTAGCATATAAAGTTTGTTTTCATCCTTTCACTTTCAGTCTATGTATATCTATGTTACTGAGGTGTGTCTCTTGCGAGGTAAGGCCAGAAATGACTTCTGGGAAAGTGTCCCAGAATGCTAGGGAAGTGGGATGGCTGCATTTGTTTCCTTTTCTCTCTGCAGAAAGACCCCAGAAAATTTCCCTCTGCAGAAAGACCCCAAAAATTTTTCCGCACCTGGCATTGTCCTGACTTGGGGAGAAAACAAGTATTTTCCCTAGTCTTCTAATATGATTAGCATTAGGTTTTTCAGATCATGGAGTTATCTCAGGCTTATTTCCAAGTATTGGGGTTTTAAAAAGTTTTACCTCCTCTGTGTATAGTTGATGGTTAAACATTTGGGGTAGGTGGGGTAGGGCCTGAGGTTCCATATTCTGTTGTCTTACAGCTGTAATACTTCAGAAATTTGTATCACTGCCATAAATGGGGATTCTCTGATTTTTTTTTTCTGTAAAATACTGACAGATATTGATGGCGAATTAGCACAAACTGAGACATTCTTCATGATGTAACCAGAAAGTTTGCAAGGGAGATAATTTCTTATTGTGCGATTTGGTGTTAGCATTGTTTGCATGTGTGTGCCAGATGTATCACACTCACCGGGAAACACTAAGCTGCAGAATTAATTTGAAATCCTTTTTATGACATACACCTTGTTCATACTCTCTACTCTGCCTTCTTGTCTCTTTTCTTGCTTGTTTGTCTTCAGTGAATTGAAAGTCCATAGAGGTGTTAGGAATATCATATGACTCTATGTAAATAAAGTACTTAGAAATAAGTGCTTATGAATGTTATTACTATTATCATTGTCATTGTATTTTTATAATTAACGTTTATTTTGCCTCCTTGGAAATGCTCATATACTCTTTTCTTTGAAGATTTATATATCTTTTTATTTGAAAGGTCAAGAGGGAGGAAGAGTGAGGGGGAAAGAGAGAGATATCTTCTGCTACCCAAATGGCCACAACAGCCAGCAACCAGAGGCTCCATGGAGACAGGAACCCAGACTCTTGCACTGTCTTCCACAGCCTTCCCAGGCACATCCGCAGGAAGCTGAAACTTGAAGCAGGGTAGTCAGGACTTGAGCTGGCATTTCAGCATGGTATGCTGGTGTCAGAAGCTCAAGCTTACCCCACTGTGCCGCAAAAACAGCTTCATCATGTCTTCTGGAGATATCCTCTCTCACTTATCTGGTCGGCTAATAATGCCTGTTTTCCCTTGCGAATCTCAGCTCAAGCCCTTGCTCTGTGAAAGACTCATCTGATTCTTCCTAACCTTAACTGCATTCTCATTTTGTCATCTAACAGATTGCCTTTGGTTATATAAGTGATCTTTGCTGCTGTGTAGCTTCTTACTCACCTCAATCGCTCACACCTAGGCTAGGGTCTGGCTCGCAGTATTTATTTTTTGTTTCTGTGAACCCTTATTAAGGACCTGTGTATGATATACTTTATGTTAGGTATCAGAGATACAAAGACAAAGAAAATGAGGTGAAGAAAGGAGTCTGCTGGAAATATGTGGGATATGCAGCTTTAAAAAGTATTGTTTATTTAAAAGAAAGAATAAGTACTAAGTGAGATTCAAACACACATTCTCAGTTTACTAGGCTAGATCTCAAATCATTAAGCTGGACACACTATTATTCCACATATTATTGAACTGAGTAAACAAATTTTGGCCATAATGGCAGACTGTATATTTTATTGTCTTTACTTCCTTGAGGTTCTAAGCATTTATTGTTTACCTCAGGTGCATACTTATCTGCTTTCAAGATTCATAATTATCTGAAAAAGTGTGGTGGTTATTGACTTTACTATTCCACAACTTAGAAAATACCTAAATGTTCTTACCCTTATGGCTGAGACTGAAAGACAAAGATCTCTGGTGCTATGGCACTCATAATTAGTGTGAGTGAAATGTACAAATGCTAGCATGATCTAATGGATTTATTTATGACATATCTCTGCAATCAATGGGTTTCTTCTTCCATGTAGGAAATCCTTCAGGCTGGGGATAAAAATGCTGACTCAGGATTGGACTTTGAAGAATTTGTACAATACCTTCAAGATCATGAGAAAAAAATGAAGCTAGCATTTAATAGTCTGGACAAAAATAGTGATGGTGTGTATTTAGTTCATCTACAGTTAGCTTAACATGCAGTCAACTGTCACTCTGTCCTTTAATTTACTTCTATCAATGTTTCAAATATTTCTACTAGTAATATAGCTGTAATTTTTAAATTGCTAAGAATAATATATAAATTATAACCAAGACGAGCTTCTTATTAGAAATCCTTAGATCAAATGTGTTTTGAGACTTAGAAACTGAACTTTTAAGAAGGAATAGTGCATATACGAAGCAGATGGTGTCCAAATAACCGAATACCACTGTGAAATTATATGTGTGAAGATTTCCTCAGTGCAATACAGATAAGCACACTAAATTAGAAAAAAAAATAATTGATTAAAGTTAACCACATTTTAGCTTTAAAATGTTTGCAAAATTTATTTTTAATTTATTTGAAAGGCAGGAAGAGAAAGAGGTGAGAGAGAGAGAGAGAGAGAGAATGGAGGGAGAAAGTAAAGGAGGGAGGGAGATATCCCATCTGCTGATTCACTTTCCACAACAACTAGTGCTGGACCAGGCTGAAGTGGGGAGTCCTGAAGTCAACCTGGGTGACTTCTCACATGGGTGTCGGGGACCTTAGGACTGGAGCCATCGTCTGCTCCTCCAGGGTGCTCCTTAGTGCCCCTTAGCTGGAATTGGGAGTGGAGCTGGGACTTCAGAATGTATCCCTCTAATAAAACGCTAGCAGCAAATTAAAAGGTACTACCACCCATTTTCTCTGGCAACATCTTACGCGGTATAGGCCCAAGAGAAATGGTAAAGATCTGAAGTTATCACCTTTTTTAAGGGATTGTAATTGTACTGGGTCTTTGAAAATGAAAGGCTGCTCCACACAAAAGGGAGTGTCTTAGAGGAGTAAACAAAGATGGGTACACCAGATACAAACTGATCCAGCTCCATGCAAGAAAATATGGGTGTATGACACAGTGTGAACCCAGATTCTCCAACTGGGGATGTGAGTGTCTGAAGGCTTCATTTCACTGCTATGCCACATGCCCACCCCAAACTCACATCAGGCAATTTTTTTTCATCAAGAAGTCATTCACTTTTTATACCTTTTTAGGCTTTGGGCTATAATTAACAGGTTATAGACCTACAAAACATACAGACTTTTAAATACTGTTGCATTCTAAATATATTTGCTTTATTTTTTTCATGTTATTTAACTTAGTATTTTTTTACTTTTTAAAGGAATTATAGAAGCGTCAGAGGTGGTTGCTGCTGTGAAATCATTGGGTATAAATATTTCGGAAGCTCAGGCAAGGAAGATTCTGAAAAGGTTAGCCCTTTAAGCAGTTTTGTGTTTTATACTTAGTATTAGAAGCTAATAGCTACAAACATGGCATTTCCTCTTTCTTACGTGACTTTGAACAAATCTTACTTTTGAATTTGTTTAATTCTGTCCTCACTGCGCATCTGTTTCTTTAAAAGCAACTTCAAGTCCACAAACAAATGGAATCACAATAAGAAATTATCTAACCTCAGAGTGGCCATTATCACACAGAAAATAAACAGTGCTGGTAATGTGTAGAGAAAAAGTAACTTTTCTACACAGTTTCTGGGAATGCAAATTAGCACATCCATGTTGAATGCAAATGAACACATCCATATTGTTGGAGATTCCTTAAAAAATCCAAAAATAGATCTACTTTGTGGTCAAGTTATCTCATTTTTGGGAACATGAAATCAGCATATTAAAGAGGTCCCTACACTCCCATGATCATTACAGCACTATGTACAATATCCAAAATATAGAATCAGCTTAGAAGCCGTTCCTGGGTGAACAAATAAGGAAAATTTGGTCTATAGACACAGCAAAAAAATATTGTTCAGCCATAAAAAGGAATTAAATCCTGTTATTTGGAACAAGATGGATGGAACTACAGGGCATTATTTCAAGTAAAATGAACTGGGCACATAAAGACATACTGTAGGTTCTTTTTCATGTAATATAATGATTCCTAGAAGATAGGATAAGGATGAAAGAAGTTCTGACTAGTGGGCAACAAGCACAAGGAGAAGTCTAAGGAGATGAAACGTTTATTGTTGTAATCTAACCAGGACACATTACATGTGAACATTGAAATACCACATCAATATTTGAAATACCACAAAATGTGAAATATTCCAATTATTATATATCAATCAACATATTTAAAACCCCTATGGAGTATTTTTAAAATAATTACCACTTCTAAGCATTTTGTTAGGTAGTTGAGCATTTTAGCAATGGCAGCCAAGTAAATCCTCTTATTCATGAATATCTAGTGATCATCTCTCCCTGTGACACAGACTTCTCTGTGTGGGGTCTGCTTTCACAGCTAAGAGGGTTGGTGGGAGTGTGTTCATTCTCACACTTTCCTGGGTTTGAGAAGCAATCGGTACACATTTTGACCCACTTCAGAATTCTTTTAGGTGTATGAGTTGAGATGCATTGATCCCAAATGTCTAGTGCTTTGATGGTCCTCTGCATAGAATAGAGCATGGCTGAGTTAGGGTGACATACGTGACAGCATCTGTGACTTAAACAACTGTCTTGTGGTGTTTAACAACAATGAGAGATGTGTAGCTCCAGGAGAATCAGCTCTCATCGGTGCTGTATCAGATACTGCTTCAAGATAATACTTGGAATTTTGTGAGTTTTATTTAAGTATTTCTTTGTATTCTTTATATCCTTGGGCAATTTAATTTTCTATTCTTGTTGTAATGATGTTGAATATATATATATATTTCAACACACTAATCAAAAATTGCAAATATGTCCTAAATCATACTGTGAAACAAATTATGAACTACCAAGAGCAGGGATTTATTTGAAATTTATTTGTTGAACTCTCATGAACATCAGTGAACAGGACACAGTTATAAACAAGCCACAGTTTTTGCCTCCTGGGTTCAGGCTTGTAGGGAAGATAATACCAGGTAACCACAATGTAGTGTCCTGGTTGGAAGCAGATTGAAGTGGGCATATTGGCCACTGGTGAATTTTATTCACTTTTTATTCACTCACTCATAAAACTCTCAGTGCTGGAAATGTACAGGTGACTTAGAAATTGTCTTTCCCTTGAAGAGACACTGGGATATATGCGATAACTACATCTGTGTATGAAATTTGATATTTTGGGGACTAAAATAAATGTGTCTTTTAATTCCATTTTTCAAGAACTTTTTAAAAACCCTCATACAAATAGATGATTTAAAAGGTAATATGGAATAAGTTGTAGTAGGGGAATGTGCTAAGAAAAATACCTATTCAATACTCCTTAAAGATGTAAGGTCTCGGAAATTATCTTAACTCGGGAGCCTATTACTAAATGGACTGTAATGTCTTAGAGGAGACCCTAAAGCATCAAGCAAAAAAAGAACATTAACTGAAAAATAATGGCATATGAGTAGATATTATGTAAGTATACAGAAATTACATAAATAAATGTAAATATTAGTTAATAATACTCTGTTAATATTCGTTAAGTGCCGGAAGCCAGCTCCAGAGTTGAGAGCTCAAGAGGGGATGTGGAATCGGTGAAAAGACACAGAGACAGTCACTTGATGCCCTCTGTCAACAGCTCAAGAAGCTGTCTTTTTTATTTACTTAGCCACAATACAAATTTCTGCACACATGTTTGATTGTTTTATTTTTAACTTCATGACCAAGCTGGCATGCACAGATGTTCGATTAATTAATGTTTTGCTTCATGGTCAACCAGGTGCTCCTAAAGATAATTCTGTAAGTTACCATAATCATTTTCTTCAAAGCAAGCCATTATTCATTCTTCAGTAGCAGCCATTAGATGACAGCCAGGACTCCAAGGCCAAGGCACATGCAGTTGCCGACTAATCAGAAATACATTCCTACCACATTTCTGCTTCTACAACTTATCTCTCACTTAATGGGAGAAATACATCAAAAGAGAAAAACTTAAAGATCTAAGACAAAAGTTTCATATATTAAATCCCCCTACAACTACAGGCTCTACAGTCTCATTAACAGTCAAACAATAATTAGATATATGTCTATGATATTAATAAAAGCACCCTATAATTCCTGTAGCCAAAAAAATATAAAAGCAGCTAAAACAGGTACATTTTGTATGCACCAAAGAAAGCCTTTAGGAAATAACTGTATTTATCGCCGTAGCAGATTCAGTTCATAGTCTCATCACTTTTATTAATGTTTAGGATATTTATAAAGCCATTTCCCAGAAAGGTGCTACATGTCTGGGCCAGGTTCCAGGGCAATGGGTAGGAACACAATAAGGTGTCCAAAACCAGCATGGGCTTAATTGTACTTCTGTATATAAATTCTTAAAGGCCCACTCACCAAGACATTATCAGTAACATTAACTTCTAAGCTCACATTGGTTGCAAAAACCATCTCACAGGGGCAACGAACAATGCCTCAATAGATTACAGAATTAGTAGTGGGATGCTTGAGTATTCACACAAAAAGGGGGTGAGACTATTTCAAGGTGGTTGGAGAGACATCTGCCAGGCCTTGCCATACAGCTGGAAGCTCCTCGCAGCCTTGCCAACAGGGGAGCTGTTCTCTTCACACCTTTGTGTCCACACCCACTGCAAGGGCCCCAGCAGCTAAGTGTAAAAATTTAAGTTATTACTAATAGGAGGAATAGGGTTTCAGAATATAAAACAATTACCTATACTGTCTTCTCAATATTTCTGAAAAACTAAACTGCTCTTAAACAAAGTTTTGCTTTTTAAAAAAAACATTGTGAAAATTATGATATACGAAGGTGTGTGCCAGTGATCAATATTTAAGAAACATTACATTTATTTTTATAGTGATGCTAATCTTAAGTACTTTAAAAAAAATTTCAGCATCGATGTTGATGGGACAATGACAATAGACTGGAATGAATGGAGGGACTACTTTTTACTTCATCCTGCCTCAAATATCAATGAAATCATTCGTTTCTGGAAGCGTTCCACAGTAAGAGTACTTTTGCATTTTACTACTTTAGTTAGCTTCAAATGTCATAGCTATTATTATGATCAATGGTATGAATGATCTTCTAAAGTTTCATGAAAAGTATGTATTATATAAAACCATGCATGGATTTAAAAGATACTGTGCATAGAAATATATTTATTTTTTAAGTCAATTTTTTCATGAACTTGTAGAAGTACCTTCAGATTTTTCTTTTTTCACAGGTATGACATGCCTGGTTGGGTCTTTTGTAACAGGAAAAGTAAATCTAAATATTAGGCTTTCAACATTATAGACTCAGAAAGTGACACTGGACAGCAAGGGACTATTAATGGGTAGCATGGCCTCTGTCTTATTCTTGGCTTCAGCAGAAGGCAGAAACCCGTCATGAACAAGAGAAGTGAAAGCAAGAGCATTTTTATTTAAAAAAAAAAAAAAAAAAGCAAAGGTCAGTCTGTTCCAATGTGGAGGAGTTGTGAGGTTCTACATATATGGGATATGGCAATGATGGTTTAGAGGATGTTGGAATATCTATTTCTGGGACAAAAGTGGCACTTCCAGGAACTACAAACTACTCTTGCACCTATCCTTAAGTAACCCACTCTTCTACTTTCTGTCAGACGGAGGTTCTTGACGATAAATAGGTGATGACCTTTATTTTGAAAGAGGTCGCTTGTGTCTCTCCCAGGCATTATTGCTCTCCTTCCTCCAAAAATTAATGAATACATGTATGTTGGATTTCTTGTTTTTGTTTTTTTTATTATGTTTACCATGTGTGAATGTGTGTGAGCTGTATGTTGTCTAATTTTGCCTTTTTTGAATTGTATATAATTTTGTTAGCATTCTGCTTTTCTGGATTCAACTACAATGATGGTTATCACCGTATTTTACTAATTTCTGTTGTACAGTATGTCACTATATAAATATATCAGTTTTGTTGATATATTTCACTAATGAACATTTGTGTTACTTGTAGATTTTTGTGATTGTAAGTAATTGTTAACTTCCCTTTTAAAAGTGTATATTTATGTTATGTTTTTATCTACTTGAAAAGTAAAGTGACAAAACAAAATTGAAACAAAAAAGTGACATGCGGGGAGAGATCTCCTATTTATTAATTCCTTCCCTAAATGTTGGCAGTAGCCAAGGCTAGTCTAGGCTAAAGCCAGGAGGCTGAAATTCCATCTCAGCATTCCAGTGGCTGGCAGGGGCCCAGGCACTTACTTGAGCTATTATCTGTTGTTTCCCAGGATGCATTAGCAAGAAGCTGCTTTGAAAACAGAGTAACCAGGACTTGACCAGCACTCTGATCCGGTGATGCAAGTGTCTGAAGTGGTAGCATAATTTGCTACATCATAATGCTCACTCCTATTAATTTTCTTATACCTATCTCCCCATAAACAAGAGATTTTCTAGGAATGTAGAATAATTGTTAATTTTTACTAGGTAACACCAACATTTTTTTTCCCAAAATACTTTGTTTATAGTTTGTTTCCATCTGCACAGGACAAAAATTTCCGTCGTTACATTTTATTGCCAGTGGTAGTATTGTTTAGCTAATTTTCTGCCCATAGGAACTATATTAAACATAGTATCATTATAATTTCAGTTGAATAAGGTTGGAAATTTTTTGATGAGCTCCATTCTGCCTCAAACCTCACGAACTTTTTTGTCAACAGCTCCTGAAATTGTTCAAGACTGGTAATGATTTACATTTGCAAACCCCACCAATCGTGGTTTTTTTTATATATATTTCATTTTCATCTCTGTTGATTTGTTATAAATGATCACTCTATCCTTAAAATAAGTGGTTGACTTGACTCCCAGGACACCATATTTCATGGAATCCTCTCTCAGCCCCTTCCCTTAGAGCTTCCTTTTAATTTTTATATGCATATTTATTTATGAATGTGTTTACATTTATTTGTACACGAAGTTATGGGCTAAATTGTGTCCACTTGAAGAATGACGTGTTGAAGTCCTAAGTCACAGCTTGTTGTGATCTTATTTGAGAATAAAGCTATTGCAAGTGTAAAACAAAGTTAAAATAAGGTCAGAATGGAGTATGACTGTTATCTTTATCAGAGGAAGCCATTTATGATGATAAATATACAGAGAGAAAACATTGTGTGTAGGTGCAGACAGAGATTCAACTTATGCTGGTGCAAGCCAAAGAATGCTAAAGGTTGTTGACAAACCACCTGAAGTTTAAAAAGGCAAGGAAATATTCCCTTGTGAGTTTCAGATGCATTATATTCCTATTGACAACTTGATTTTAGATTTTCAGTCTTTAAAACTGTGAATGAATTTGTTCTGTTTTAAGTCTTCTGGGTTATTTCAACCAACTCAATGGTTACACAGTTTAGCAGACTAAAATCCTAAAAACTATTCTTAACACTTACTTTCCTGATAGCTTTAGTACCCAACAACTATTAGGAAGTCTGTAGCTCTGTCTTCAAGATGTTATCCTGAATTTGAGCATCCTTATTCTGTTATCTTGGTTGAAGCCACCACCCTAGTCTGAAACTGTTACATTAGCTTCTTAACTAGCTACGCCACTTCTATTCTTGCCATCCTATAGTCTCTTTCCACCCAGTGACAGATGATCATTTAACAAAAAACACTCCTTGAGGGTCTCCCATGGTATTAAAAATTGTTTTCTGAGATAGAATTAAAATGCAAGTATCTTATTTTGGAGATGATTCCAGGAAATAGAGGCCTGTGAAGAAAAAGAGGGAAAGGACAGAAACCAAATATGAGGGTGTATTATGAAGTACATTGGCACCTTGGTTGTTGAGAGCTTAGTATCATTGAGGAACTCAGAATGGAAATAAAACACATTACTCAGAGTTACCCTGCCTAACAGTGAAGAAGCTAGGGTATCCATCCCTATTTTAAATTGAAATTATTGGTCCAGGGCTGTTCTAGAGGGTTAGCAGTGCACATTGATTTCCTGGTATCCCAGCCTGCCTTGGAAAGGTAAAGAGTCGGCTTCTGGCTGCTGTAAAGTGAACATGCATGTGTGGAGAAGGTCAGTGCTGAATGAGTAAGGGCGAAATACCAATAGTACTCTTTGTAAACATTATCTTTATACTGTGAAAACACTTTTGATAGTATGGTGATGCTTTGCCAAAAAGAATTTTGTTTTGGCTCACATAGGGCTTAGAAATTGAGAAATTTCATATGTAGGGGAGGTCTTTACAAAGTTCATTGATCTCAGAGCATCATGGGGTGAAACTAGAGACTAAAAGGTCAAAACACCTCAGAAGATGTGCAAATCTCAGGAGACTGAACAACATGCTGCTAAGTGAACGAGGGGTTATAGATGAAATCAAAGAGGAAGCTAAAAAAACTTCTTGAAATGAATGAAAGCATCAACACAACATATCAGAACTTGTGCGACACAATCAAGGCAGTGCTAAGAGGAACGTGCATTTCAGTTAATGCTTATGCTTAGAAAAGGCACCATCAGAAATTATTACAAGCAATTATACACCTATGTGTCAGAAGACCTAGAAAAAATGGATAAATATGCTGGACACAGACCAGTTATCAAAACTGAATCATGAGATAATTTAAAATCTAAGTAGGTTCATAACCAGGATGGAGGTGAAATCAGTAATCATATCTCCCAACAAAGAAATGTTCTGGACAGGATGACTTCACTGCTGAATTCTAAAAAAAAAGTTTGAAGAACTTACCCCAACTCTCTCCAAGCTATTCAAAATATAATAAATGGAGAAAATCTTTCCAAACTCTTTCCATGAAGCCAATATCACCTTAATACAAAGCCAGATAAAAACACAACAGAGAAAGGTAACTACAGACCGAAATCCCTGATGAACGTAAATGAAAATCCAACTGTACATCAGATAGATCATATACTCAGACCAGGTGGTACCTGGCATGCAGGGATGGTTTAGCACATGCAAATCAATAATTGTGATACATCACATGAACAAATTGAAAAACAAAAATCATAGGATCATCTCAATAGATGTAGACAACGAATTTAATAAAATCCAACACCACTTCATGGTAAAAACAATAAGCAAGATAAGTATAGATGAACTATTCTACAATACAATTAAAACACGGTATGAAAAGCCCAATTCCAGCATCATACTAAATGGGTAAAGACTGGAAGCTTTTCCACTAAGATCTGGAACTAGACAAGGATGTCTGCTTTCACCACTGTTATTCATTATAGTATTGGAAATCCTTGCTAGAACTCTAAGGCAAGAAAAAGAAATTAAAGGTATTCAAGTCTGAAATGAGGAATTTAAATTACCCCTATTCACAGATGATATGATTCTATACATAGGAGAACTAAAAGACTTAATCAAGAAACTATTGGAGCTTACAAGAGAATTTTACATGATAGCAGAATACAAAATTAATGAACATAAATCAATGGCCCTAATATGCACAAATAATTCTGTGGCTGAGAAAGAACTTTTAAGTACAGTCCTATTTAAAATAATGGAGAAAAATCTTAAATATCCTGGGTTAACCATAACCAAAGATAGGGAAGACATCTATGATAAAAAGTTCAAAACATTAAACAAAAAGAAATAGAAGAATGAAAAATGGAGAAGTTTATATGTTCCAGGATTGGCAGGATCAACATCATGAAAATGTCCATATTACAGAAAGTCATATACAGATTCAGTGTGATCCCAATCAAAATCCCAACAGCATTCTTCTCATATATGGAAAAAGATGATAGGAAAATTCATCTGAAAGCACAAGAGACCACAAATAACCAAAGCTATCCTGAAGATTAAAAATCAAGCTGGAGGAATCACAATTCTAGACCTCAAGGCATACTACAGGGAAGTGGTCATCAAAATGGTCTGGTACTGGTACAGAAACAGAGAAGATCAATGGAACAGAATAGAAATCTCTGAAGTGATCCCACACATGAACAGCCAACTCATTGTGAACAAGAAAACTGAAAATAATCCAGGGGAAAAGTTAGGTATCTTCAACAAATGCTGCTG